TTTAGTACTTGATAAGGAGCTCGAGGTAGTAGCCTGGCTGATTTAGTACTTGATAAGGAGCTCGCGGTTGTAGCCTGGCTGATTTAGTACTTGATAAGGAGCTCACAGTTGTAGCCTGGCTGATTTAGCACTTGATAAGGAGCTCATGGTTGTAGCCCTGGCTGATTTAGTACTTGATAAGGAGCTCGAGGTTGTAGCCTGGCTGATTTAGTACTTGATAAGGAGCTCGCGGGTGTAGCCTGGCTGATTTAGTGCGGGCCTTACCTAACCCTGTAATTCACCAACCCTCCTTGTCTTTATTCTATGAAATAAACAGACATTAAATGGAAGTGATGTGTGTTCTAACTATGAGGTGGACCTGGCTACTAAAGAATTTACGTTTTCTTCATTTATGTTGACCTCTTTATTCATAAGAATTTACTTCATGTTGCATTCATGTAGGTATAAAACTGGTGTGTACACTTTGCCTAATTTGGATAAAATGCAAAACATATCAAAAGTCAATTCTTTATAAAAATCTTTTTATAATTTTAAGTTACACGTTATAGGGCTTTTTCATTGGACGAGAGGTTGGCCAAATGACTGCGAAATTGTCGTTCATAAGTGTATGAACTATTTGACTTCCATACGTTTTTCATGAGACCGTGTTCTTGAAATGACATAAACACTGACTGACTACTTCCACATTCCTGGTGAAACCCCTGGGAATTCCATTGCATGAATACATACAGAAGTATTCTTTCTGAACAGGGGCGGTCGGGTAGCCTAGTGGTTAAAGCGTTCGCTCGTCACGCCGAAGACCCGGGTTTGAATCCTGACATGGGTACAATGTGTGAAGCCCATTTCTGGTGTCCCCCCGCCGTGATATTGCTGGAATATTGCTAAAAGCGGCGTAAAACCAAACTCACTCACTCACTCACTTTCTGAACATTTAGACCCTTTAATCTTGACCTCAGCGATTCAGTATACATTGAGAAACGTCAGAGAGTGTGACTGCATTATAGTTCATGAATATCCTCACGACCCATCCTAATGAACATGTAGCAGGGCGTGGAGTCGTCCCACAGATGACATCCTAACCTTGTCAGCTTGCTGACGGGGTTAACCTCTTTGGTCATTTGGACAAGGCGTCCGACCTCTGATCAGAAGGTCCGTGGTTCTAATCCTATCAGTGGACTCAGAAATTTTATGGCCGCTACAAACAGAACGAAGAAATGCACTTCCAAACTATCATAGTATCGACTCGATTCGTGTCTAGTCTGACAGTGACAGTCTGCAGAAATCTATGAATTTACCTAAGTGTCTATTTGACACATCTTCAATCACATTTCAATGATCGGCCAGTTGATCAATGATGACTAGAACCTGTAACCGCCACAGGTTCATTAACAACTTCCGAAATTGCTCCCGTCACGTTTATTGTGTCGGCCATTTTTACGTTTTGTACGTGATGTAAATGTATTACGACGCTGTCATTGTGATTGACTTACTGGGGTAGTTCTTAACAGACCTTTCTCATCTTAGGAGGATATTATTTGAGTACATTTGTTTAGGGAAACTACAAAAGTTGTCCCTCTTGTTTTAAGGAACTACTTTATTCCGCGATACAGCTTGTTGTTGTATGGCTGTCAGTGTAAACATGAAGTCACGTGCAAAATATAGTTGTATATAGATCACGGCCTATGTCCTTTGACATAAAAATAGTGATATAAATAATCATAAGAATTTACTTTCACGCAAGCTCCGACATTCATAAAGTTTAGCCCTCACTCTATGAAGGTTCATACTCCAATGAACTCACACAACGTGAAAGTCAATCCTTAAAAAATATTTATACAAATTCATTTTGTTTGATAAAAGATTGCTCTGTGTATTCATTTTAAAATATTCATATGATTTTCTCATTTCCATGGTTAATCAAGCTGACACACAGATGTTGAATATGTGTTTATATGTTATAAAAATCACTGTACTCAAATCATGAATATTCTTGCCAAACATTTTAAGTGATTTTCAATGCTTTGCTGTCATTACTTTCATAGGTTCCATACATTTCTGTTTGTTTTGCTCAAATATGTGGCAATATATGTCAAAGGCAAAAGTAGTGATAATATATAAATATACCGTATTCAACGTAATAAGTGCCCAGGGCGCTCTCAAAATAAAGAAGGAGGGGGCTCTTATTAGAATATTATTTAGTGAAAAAAAAAAACAGAGTTAAAAGATAAATTGAAATTAAATTAAATGTTTATGTACGACAGATATATTTTTCCAGAATTTAATTGCCCATAATTAAGTGTGCATATAAATCTTGATTTGAGTACAGTGATTATTATAACACATAAACACATATTCAACATCTGTGTGTCAGCTTGATTAACCGTGGAAATGAGGAAATCATATGATAATTAAATATCATTCATGTTGCTCTTTTGAAAATTCTTATCCTCAAAATTCATGTTATTCAGTTGAAAATTATCTTCAAAACTAACTTGTATATTCAAGATAAACTGAATTCAACTTCTGAACTTCTCAAGGCTTCACTTCCTGCTTTGAACTGACACTGTTGCCTGATATTGGATCTTGAATCATAGTTTTTATGGCCCTAATTGGCTTCCATACTTTATAGCTTTACGGTTTGATCAATCTTCCAGCTTTGTATCTTGATTTAATTTTAGTGTGGACTTGGAATCAAAACGAAGTCACACCTCAAGTTTTCTCTCCATTTTACACAGTGAGGTGAGGTGAAATGGGGTTTAACATCGCGTCCAAGATTATTGCACTTATATGGCGACGTGCATGTACGTGTGTGTGTTTGTGTGGCTGCTTGTACTAGACCGGACTGATGCCGATTTATAGTGCTAGCTCACTGAGATACCATGCCGCAGTTTAACATGAATACCCCACTCAGACACAGTATACTGACTCCGGGCCGACCAGTCTTTGTTTAAGCCCCTTAATGCCGAGCGCCAGACATGGTAACAACAAGTACCATCTTTTAACGTCTTTTGGTGTGACGCGGCCGGGGATCGAACCCCAGACCTTCCGCTCTCCGGGCGGACGCTCTACCACTAGACCACGGAGGCGGTCCCATTTTACACAGAGAGACGTTGGGTAGCACAGTGGTAAAGGGATTTGCTCATCGCACCAAAGACCTATGTTTGATTCCCTAAATGGGTACAATGTGCGAAGCCCATTTCTGGTGTCCCCTGTTATGATACTGCTGGAATATTGCTAAAGGCAGCAAAAAACCCAACTCACTCGCTCTTATTGGGAATGCAATAAACCAAACATTCCACATTAACTTGTATGACAAACACAAAAATATTACAAGGAAGAATTTAAATTTGAACCGTTTTATTTTTTATTTTATTTTAAGAAATTAATAATCTTCAGAAAGCCATATTAAACACCTATCCACTTTAAATTTAAAAAACGTGTTGATTTTTAGTTCAAAATTCCCTTATGTGATAAATTAGAACATCTGATAATACTTACTTTGAATGAGGAAAATTCTTTTGTCTTTCAATGCAACGTTTCAGTACAGGTGCTAGTAGCTTTATCGAGCAGTAGAAAGAATGAAGAAGTTAAAATCTGTATGTCACCGTATGTCACTACTACTACCACTACCACTACCACTACCACTACCACTACTACAGGGGCTGTGGGGTAGCCTAGTGGTTAATACGCTTACTCATAAATACCGAAGACCTGGGTTTGAATCTCCACATGGGTACAATGTGTGAAACTCATTTCTGGTGTTCCCCGCTCAGTGACATTGCTGGAATATTGCTAAAAGCGGTGTAAAAACATACTCACTCATCACTACTACTACTACAACTACACTACTACTACTACTACTACTACTATTACTACTACATTTTCTAAAATGCCACACGTTGTAGTTACTTTTGATTTTGAGTATATTTCCATTCATGCTTCACAAATATACAAAATAAGTCTTAAGATAACTCTACATCTATGTGTTTAGGTCTGAGCCATATTTCCTTATTAAACGCTAGGATTTTGATTAAACACCCCACCTCGATTAAACACTGGGTAGTTTTTAACAGAATTCTTCCCATTATTATCGTTACCATTAAATGACAGGGGTAAAGGGTGTAAAGAAAGGGTGGGACGTTTAACATAGGAAATACAGTAACACTCGGACGTTTAACATAGGAAATACAGTAACACTCGAACGTTTAACATAGGAAATACAGTATATATATATATTCAGTTCGTTCATAGAATAGTATCATACGAACATAAACAAACACAGCCACAGTTGATTAATTCTGGAATTGTTTTATTGAAATGTTTGCCAAACAAGCAATAATTTTGCTGCTCATATGAAAGTATTGGTTTCCCTTCTGGCAAATACCCAGAATGAGTGCATGGTCATTTGAACTGAGACTTCACGATTGGGGTAATTAAATATTAATTGATCTGGAAGATAATGGACAACATGCTCTTCCATGGAATGGAGGCCTGTCACATGACCTGAAGTTGGGCGATATTTTGAGACCTCAGTGTTTCTTTGTTTCACGCATCTCCCTTGCTTGCTGACAAAAATCAATAGAAATTCAATAAGGACCTAGACAAACGGGGTTATAATGCAAGGGTTTCACTGCCACACTATCAGACAATTATCTATTTTTCTGCAGTTTTACGGAGTAAAAATGTAGAATATCATCCGAAAAATGTAAAATCAATTTAGGAAACATCAAAGTCTCAAATCGGTTTCCATGGTAACATGTTTATAATTCAGCAGGCCTGTGTCATATGTTGAGCTGAGCCGAGAGCTGAAAATGTCTTTGTTCACATGGTGAGGGATTCCAGCATCTGTCAACTAAGAAACAGATGCAGCAGTTCATGGTTAATACCATCAACCTACTTACTATTCACGCAATTGTATTGTAGGTTGTCCTAATTTGTCAACTAACAGCCTTGTGTTAGATCCTAGCAGCTTTCTAACCCAATTGTCAATGCTCTTTCAGGTGTGAGAGAGACAACAAGCGTTTTGGTCAAAGCTCGTCACATCAAACCTTGGGACCAGGCCCTGTAGACGAGCAGGCATCTATTGTGTATTTTCCCGGATACCTTCGACTGACCAGCATCGAATGAAGGCCTGAAGGGCCGTATAATTTATCGAAAGGCTCAGGTTCTATGACATGAAGTAACAGAGGCTTTGGTTGGTGGAATTGTATACATGAGCTTCTATTGGGCATTTGCTGGAATCTCTTATAGTATTGATGTTCCAGTCTTCAACAGGATTTTCTCGATTCAGCACCTTATCCCCAGGTCGGTGGCTTTGCATGTTGATGTTTTTTTATGTTCAGAATTCATATTTCATGTACCTTTCCTCTTGCTGGTGCCATATTTGAACGAAGGTGGTTTAGTCTTTGAAATATGGTCCTGCATTTCATCAGTGGGGGCCATAATTCATGACTTCCAAATTCATATTTTAATATGGTTTATGCTAAATTTTCAACAAATTTTCTTGTTTCTGTAGCAATGCATCATGGATTATTTACATGTTAATTGTCATCAAGGGTATCTTTTCAATATACGGTCAATAAAAGACAGGAATATTCGTGCTTTCCAACTGATGGGCGTTATGTTGTAGGCAGTGACTTCATTTAATTGAAACCTATTCGTCAAAAAAACATTTGTAAACAGCCCGGTTAAATCTACTCATGAAGCTTGAATATTGATCAATATAGTATCAAAATATGTACTTTATAAAATGACTATGAAAATTGATTTTTATGAAATATGGCACAAAAGATCTGCCTTTGTTTAGCGAGAATATCTATTTTTAGCACTGTTAATGGAGTTTCGACATGGGAGCAGTGGCATAAGGTGATTAATTATCAACATTGTTGTAATGGAAGCAGTTGTGATGCAAGCAGCATTGTTGTGTAACATGTTGTCAATGTGTTGCTTTGCCGTATTTAGCTCTCCATCTCGATCCTTATTATGGGTGCTTGTGGGAATATTCAAAGACACCATTAGCATTATTTTGCATTGGATTTAAAAATATTCAATTTCAATAACCAATTGTGGAATGGTGACAGACAAGACTGAGTGTAAAACAGTTATTGGAACAACTCACATGTAATAGAAATATTTGAGGCAACACTTATATTGCAGTGATTGCATGAAAAACTAATCTTTTAAAAACAGAAAAATGACAAACTATATTTGTTTGTGGTTAGTATTAGGTAATGATGAGTGAGTGAGTGAATGTAGTTTGATGCCACAGTGAGAAGTATAGCTGTTTTATCATGGCAGCCCATAAATAATCTTGGCCAGGAGTGAGTGAGTGTGGTTTTACGACACTGTTAGCAATTTTCAACAATATCCTGGCAGGGGACATCGGAAATGGGCTGCACACATTGTACCCAGGTGGGGAACTGAACTCAGGCCTTCAGTGTGAACAGCGAACACTTTAACCACTAGGCTACCCCACCGCCCCTTTTGGGCCCGGAAAACCAATGGTTGATAGAGTGAGCACCACTCAACATTGTAGGTGTACACTGATACACAGTCAGCCCTGACACTCATCCGCATAATAGTGAGCTTTATGAGAAGCATAGGGTACTGAGTTACTTTTTCTGCCTTTTACCCCCCTCCGGGTTTTCATGGGAGAATAAGGGGTATTTGTCTGCAGAAATAATAAGGAATTTTGTTAAGATCTTCTTCAGAATTTCTATAATTGATATTTAAAGGGTTAAATTGTACTATACACATTTACTAGTGATTAATCATGATGATCGCACTAATTGTGCACTACTACTACTACTACTGCTACTACTACTACTACTACTACTACTACTACTATGTCTACTACTACGACTACTACCACTACTGATAATAATAATAATAGCTCTAAACTCCAGTCAATGAATCAGTGTGCACTTATTTTTTTTATCATTCTCAGCTCCCTTGGGAGTATACAACCCAAGCTGCCTGTGGGGCACTAGAAGGTTAACAGCCACATTACATCTCATCCTACCGGGTACCCATTCACTGCTGGGTGATCATAGACACATGTCTAACAAAGTCATTTCCCTGAGGACATTTCTGGCGTCCCCAGCCGTGATGTTGCTAGGATATGGCTAAAAGCAGCGTAAAAGCATAATCACTCACTCCCTGGGGAGACACCACATGTGGTGCATGTGCGTCAGTGTGGGACAGGAGCGAAGCCCGAGACACTAATGACAACGTGTTATATGCTAGAATCACATTCATGCATTGCATGTGCTTGAGTGAGTGAGTGAGTATGGTTTTACGCCGCTTTTAGCAATATTCCAGCAATATCACGGCGGGGGACACCAGAAATGGGCTTCACACATTGTGCCCATGTCGGGAATCGAACCCGGGTCTTCGGCGTGACGAGCGAACGCTTTAACCACTAGGCTACCCGACCGCCCCACATGTGCTTGATAATTGAGGGCACTGCTGTAGCCCAGCGGTAGAAGTTATTGTCAAAGACCCAGGTTGGATTCCCAGCATGGTCGCAGTGTATGAATCGATTCTTGATGCCCCCTACACTAATATGGCTGGAATAGTGCTAAAAGCAGCAGGAAATACAACTCCCCCTTTTGTCAGTTCTCATACCGTATTCGCTGTAATAAACACTCCGGGTGCTTAGAAAATTGACCAAGGGTACCTATTAAAACTATGCACAAGTTGTTTGTATGCAGAGATTGAGCAGTAGAGACCAAATTTATTTCAAACGTTGATAAAACAAAAGCTCTTTTGATGATAGTTTAGTTTATTTTGTTGATAAAACAAACACTTTTTTGATGATAGTTTAGTTTATTTTGTTGATAAAACAAAAACATTTTTGATAGTAGTTTAGTTATTTTCAATAATATATCCCTTCTGCGTTGCTGTTTTCTGGACAAAATGTGTAATATACACAAGTATTTACTGTAATGTTAATTTGGGGTCTTTGTTGGGGTCTGTTATAAAGATTTCTTACAGACTGGTCTAGAAGTTGGGCAAGAGGCATTTATTTGTGAATATAGTAGGCAGCTCCGGACCCTGGTCCTCTGGACCTCATACATGTATGTCAGGGAAGTTGGAAACAAACATGATGTATTTCAGCATTATAGAGTTGTTTTCCTGGACAAGTCCTTGTGTTGTATTTGACAGTTTGTTGGACACACTTCTGTACAGTGAACTGGATATAATGGTGGCTGCAGACGCAAGATGTCATACTAAAACAATCAGTGAAATCTGCCTGCAATTACAATACAATATTCACAATCTCTCCATCCCGTCTTTCTCTCCCTCTCTCCCTCCCTCTCTCTCTTCCTCCTTTTCTTCCTCCCTCATAAGTATTGAGAATTCAAATGGGTAACGGAAATATGTATGGCTCTTTGGATCATTGAAACTATTTCGTGTTTCAGCTTGTTCATGTCCCTATTTTTTAAATCACAATTCGACAAAAAACAAGAAATCCACATGAGTTATGGACAGACTACATATATGACACATAGCTATGCTAATTAACACATAGCTATGTGTTATTAACAGGCTTAATTTTGGAGGGTGCATTACACAGCCGAATGAGCATAATTTTACCCCCGCCGCTTTAGCAATATTTCAGTAATATCACCGTGGGGTACACCAGAAATGGGCTTCACACATTGTACCCATGTCGGGAATCGAACCTGGGTCTTCAGCGTGACGAGCGAATGCTTTAACCACTAGGCTACCCACCGCCCCTGATTTCATGCCCAGGTTTACTCGTTCCCCACCCCCACTCCCAGTGTAAAACTAAGAGGATTAAAACTACTTGATAACAGCTGATTTTTATGTATTTTAATTGTAAAAACCTGGAAAAGTTTATGTTGTCATACGTGGAAAACTTTCAGACCTCTTTACCACCCAACCCCAACTTACAGATTTTATTTTCACTTTTTTATTTGACTTCAAATTTTGTAACTGCTCCCTAAGACAAGAAAACACAAATATAATCTGGATGTATTCTGTGAATGTTTGCTTCCAAATAACCTCTGATAGAACTTAACAATGGATATCTTTGTGGTCAAAGCCCGAACTAGAGCCTTCCAAGAGCTGTTGTTCAAAGAATCTTGTGACTGTGTCATCTGTCAAAATATTAACTTTGTTTACACCCTGCAATGGACTAAACAGCTATTGTTTATATTCTTCTGATTCGGCATTTGAATATATATGGTCACCATTAGTTGGACAACTGGACAGTGTTATAGACATGTGGTCAATACAGTGTTAGCTCACCAGACTCCTTGACCTGTAGAAGTCATACTGCAGAATTGGAGTATATATGGCTACCAATAGCTGGACAACTGGACAGTGTTATAGACATGTGGTCAATATAGTGTTAGCTCACCAGGCCCCTTGACCTCTAGATGTCAAACTGCAGCATTTGAGTATATGGCTACCAATAGCTGGACAACTGGACGGTGTAGTAGACATGTGGACAATATAGTGTTAGCTCACCAGGCTCCTTGACCTGTAGACATAATACAACAAGGGTCCATCAACTCAGAATGTCAAAGTTTTGATGCCAACCTACAAGTTTGTTCCCATTTATATTAAATTTATAACCAACTTACAAATACAAAAACAATCTTCCAACTGCTTTCTAGATCACCACCCTCCACAAATTGTACATGGAATCCATGATTGCATTGTTATTTTTAAACCCATCAGTAGGTGCTTTCTTTGATTGCAAATCTTTTTTCAAAACATTTTATCACGTTATAAGGCAAGATCAAAAGAGCTGCCCATCAGCTGATATAGGTGGTCCCTTTCAGAAGGAGGAGACACCCATCACCTAATGCATGATAGGCGTGAATGTTGTCATGGTAACCTTTGGAAGTTGTTGCCCACCATGATGCATGATGGGTGGTGCCCTTTACTTATCAAATGGCCCTCGCCCTCCCTCTTAGAACAACCACCAAGCTTTGATATTATACCCTCATTTTACCATATCTTATAGGAGTGAAAGGTTCTAAGTGGGCTGCTGAGTAACGTCCCTCAGCCATACCAGGTTTGTCAGGCAGTGGGTTCAAATCCATGATTCATCCCAATTATTTACCTTTTGTTTGTCACCACTACATATACATTAATCTACATATAGTTTGAAGTCTATATCGGATATACACTGTCATGATAGTACTGAATATTGCTAAAAGTGGCATTTCACTCACTCACTCACTCACTCACTCACTCACTCACTCACTCACTCACTCACTCACTCACTCACTCACTCACTCACTCACTCACTCACTCACTCACTCACTCACTCACTTCAGGTAGCATGGGTTCAAATCGATGATTCATCCCAACTATTTACCTTTTGTTTGTCACCACTACATATACATTAATCTACATATAGTTTGAAGTCTATATCGGATATACACTGTCATGATAGTACTGAATATTGCTAAAAGTGGCATTTCACTCACTCACTCACTCACTCACTCACTCACTCACTCACTCACTTCAGGTGGCATGGGTTCAAATCCATGATTCATCCCAATTATTGACCTTTTGTTTGTCAACACTACATATACATTAATCTACCTTTGGTTTGAAGCCTATATCTGATATACACTGTCATGATAGTACTGAATATTGCTAAAAGTGGCATTTCACTCACTCACTCACTCACTCACTCACTCACTCACTCACTTACTCACTCACTTCAGGTGGCATGGGTTCAAATCCATGATTCATCCCAATTATTGACCTTTTGTTTGTCAACACTACATATACATTAATCTACCTTTGGTTTGAAGCCTATATCTGATATACACTGTCATGATAGTACTGAATATTGCTAAAAGTGGCATTTCACTCACTCACTCACTCACTCACTCACTTCAGGTGGCATGGGTTCAAATCCATGATTCATCCCAATTATTGACCTTTTGTTTGTCAACACTACATATACATTAATCTACCTATGGTTTGAAGCCTATATCTGATATACACTGTCATGATAGTATTGAATATTGCTAAAAGTGGCATTTCACTCACTCACTCACTCACTCACTCACTCACTCACTCACTCACTTCAGGTGGCATGGGTTCAAATCCATGATTCATCCCAATTATTGACCTTTTGTTTGTCAACACTACATATACATTAATCTACCTATGGTTTGAAGCCTTTATCTGATATTCACTGTCATGCTTAAAGTGGCATTTCACTCCCTCCCTCCCTCCCTCACTCACTCACTGCTGAGTGTGACAAGTACATGACCAGGTGACACCAAGGAAGACCACCACACAGAGGGGACCATCTGTTTACATATGCAATATATCTCCAACAAAACAACACAGTTTGCATGTCGGAGTGCATATTTGAACAAACTGTTAACAGCAGAGGGTTGGTATTTCCCTCAAAAGATGCAACAAATCTTTAAAAATGTCATAATCATGCTAGAATGGCATACACAAAGCCGAAGTGTTTGTTACGAACATATTGTAATACAATGTAAAGCAACTCGCCTTCCGTTCCAAAGACAGTATGCTTGATTTGGGTGACAAAGAAAAAACATGCCATATCATATATGATTCAAGCATTTTGGTTTTTTTTATGTCTGATCTCATGATAAGGATGTTATTGAGCTAATGAAACATAAAACATTTTCTTCTCTCTTTTATTGCAGTTTTATTGGATAAATCTACCTCAAGTCATCTAAAAGTGGCCGGGATGAACGGAGAAGTGAGTAGTTAATGTGCACGTAACAGTATACTTACACCGAGGCTCAAGAGGGACTCCTCACGATGCCAGCATACTGATTGTACTTTATGGATTTACTGACATTATGAGGTTCTACAGGGACCCCCTGATTCATGACATTTTGTATTTCACGGAACCTCTTTCATGTTCGAATGACTCAGATTAGATTAATAGGCTCTTCTTAACTTTTGGTTTAATTTTGTTAAAAGTGTTTATTTTCTCTTGGAAGATATAATCTGAAGTGATCCTGAATTTCATCTCGGGTTCATGGATGGGAATTTGAAGATTCTACACTTAGGATTCAGATGAAGCCATTGCTTGATTGAGAGGAAGGAACAAACATGGCAATGTAACTGCAAATATTTATAATTTTGAAATAAATCAGAGGTTGTTAGACACAATCATTTCATAATTTAATTTTATGGACGGAGCCAAAATGTGACAGTGAATCTTTAAAACAAAGAATTATATTAAATTTGCTTAATCATTGATATAAAGATGTCACTAATGGCGATCTTTGCTGAGAACAAATCATGCTGGAAGCTCGGTTTAGTGATATCTATTGGTTGATATGGCAGTTTGGGTTCTGAAATATCTTCTTACATGTGAGGGGGCACGGGTGGCCCAGTCGTCTAAGGCGGCGCGATTCGCTGTGCAGAGTTGCGTCCCTTGGGCACGCCAGAAACCTATGATTGTGGGTTCCAATCCCGGTTCGCCCCGATTATGTTTCTAGGTTTGTCAGCACCATACCCGTGCTCGTGGGTTTCACGGAAGTGGTAAACGTCTAAGACCTGCATCACTTCGGGCTTTCCTCCCACATTAAGCTGACACACCGTGATATAACTGGAATACTGTTAAAAGCGGCGTTAAACCCAACTCACTCACTCACTCTTACATGTGAGGTGAGGTGAAATGGGGTTTCATGTCACATCCAAGATTATTGCACTTATATGGTGACATGCATGCAAATGTGTGTGTGTTTGTGTGTGGCTGCTTGTACGAGTCCAGACTAATGCCAATTTTATAGTGCTAGCCCTTAGATACCATGGCGCAGTTTAACATGAATAAATACCCCACTCAGACACAGTACATCCGAGCAACCACTTGTGGTTTTACTCTCATAATGCTGAGTACCAGGCAGGGTAACAACAAGTACCATCTTTTGTATGATGCGCCTTGGGATGAAACCCTATCCAGGCGGATGCTCTACCACTGGACCATGGAGGTGGTCCTTCTTACTTGTAGTTGCTAGGGTAGTAGTAGTATTATTGTACTTTTAGTCCGGATATATGTCTTTACGGCACCATCACCATTTAAACATAATCCGAATTCTGTGATAGATATATTCTTGAAAGTCTGCAGAATGGCATTCATTTAAAACTGACTACGATTTATGGTGAGTGAGTGAAAGAGTTGCGTTAAACGCCGCTCCTAACAGTATTCCAGTTATATCACGGCGTGTCAGCTTAATGTGTGAAGAAAGCCCAAAGTGATGCAGGTCTCAGACGTTTACCACTTCGATGAAACCCACGAGCTTGGGTATGGTGCTGACAAACCTAGAAACATGATTGGGGCGAACCGGGATTCTAACCCACAATCACAGGTTTCTGGCGTGCCCAAGGGACACAACTCTGCACAACGAATCGCGGCGCCTTAGACGACTGGGCTACCCGTGCCCCCCAACGACGATTTAATGAAGCCAGTTTCACCTTTAGCCTGTCACAGTATGAGCAACAATCAGGTTCTGTCTGATGAATGTCAACAGCTGACTAATGACATATAATTTCAGATGTTAATATCAACCTGACCTAATTCTTCATAAAGCATTTGTGTCAAGTGTACATTGACACTAGCAGCCATAAAACTAATCATAAGTATGCTATATTTATTTCTGATTCTTTTCTTCTTCTTTTTTTAATCAATATGATAAGCTGGTCATAAACATTATCAATATGATCCATTAATAACATGCTATTTTCCAATCCAAGCTGATAATATTGCACTTCAAAACAGATTTTACATGAGGTGAAGGTCACTTTTGTCAATGTACAAAAATAGAACTTGAGGAATTGAATTTGTCAAAACCAATAAATGTATCAAATGTTTGCAACCACAGGAACACGTATTAAATTTAGCGAATAGGTTTGAATTTCTAACACCATCTCGAATACAGCTGGCCTTTTTATGACTCTATAAACTGAACACATGGCTTTTATTAGTTTTTAGCTGTGAGCAAATATGCAAGTCTGTGGTGGCTTTGATTATGTTTATTAGAGAACTGCCATGAGTCATTGGTGGAGCTGCTTCCTCCTCCGATGAGAGAACACAGGCCACGCTGACGCAGTCAAAGTTCTTCTTACGCCAAATATTGATTGGAGGCAGTGAGCCAATCTTGCCTGCTCGGCAAAAATGAAGGATGCACGACCAAAATGTCTTCCTTCTTCCATTTAGAGAAGGTTTATTGGATGATAGGGCAGTTCGGGTTCTGAAATACTTCTTCTTACTTGTAGTTGATAGGGTAGTAGTACTTATTCTTGCGAGCAGACGGAGCATTTTTCTTCTTTGGGGGGGTTTATCACAGATTATGGCACTTTTGGTGCTGATGTATGTCTTAGCCTTGCTGCTTGAAGACAGCATAGATTTTGTTCACAAAACAAGAAATATTTCACCATGTACAGCTTTTTATTTCTAAATATTCTGTTTTTATGTTGCTTTAAAAAGTATTTCTCCTTGTGGAGTTTATATGAATATTGATGTATTTTGGTTGCTTTTAAACGTATTTTTAAAATCTATGCTTTTGGTAAGAGTTTTTGGGTGTACATGCATTAGCTAGAGTTTATTGATCTGAATTTTATGGTCACATTTCTATATTGGTATTTTTGGAAGTTCCCACTTTGTTCTGATGGTTTGGGTACCTCATGATTATTGTTAATATACAGGACTTATTTTAACTATATAGAACGTGCACCAGAGCAACCTGTTATTTAAAACTGCAGCCTCATATTTATGTCTACTTGCACCAAGTGCAAGTTATAATAACTCCGGGTAGCCTAGTGGTTAAAGTGTTCACTCGTCATGCTGAGACCCGGGTTCGATTCCCGACGTGTACAATGTGTGAAGCCCATTTCTGGTGTCCCCCGCCGTGATTATGCTGGAATATTGCTAAAAGCAGCATAAAACCATACTCACTCACTCACTCACTGACTAATCCTCACTCTCACACACAACAATCTTTGAACACACTCAATACCGTACCGTAAAGCACTTTGTGCCATACTTAATCACTAATCCTTGTGTTATGTGTAAATTGTCATGCTTTTTTATCATCATTGAACTTAGATCTAAGATATTACTTCTGGCTTTCCTCCCATATTAAGCTGACATGCCGTGATATAACTGGAATATACTGTTAAAAGCAGCATTAAACCAAAATCACTCACTCATTTACAAATCAAATTACCGTATTCGGCGTAATAAGTGCTCAGGGCGCTCTCAAAATTAGAAATAGGGGGCTCTTATTAGAATATTATTTTGGTGGGAAAAAAAATGAGTTGAAAGACCGTAAATATAATAATTGGGATAGTTCACTATCCAATATATTAGCAAATATCGCCGTGGGCGCTTATTACGTCGAATACGGTAATATTAGTTATATTACACAGCAAAACTGATTGTATGAACTGATTTATTGTGTATATTTTACGCAAATATGGAGCTTATCTAGAGCAGTGGTCACACTTTTTATATGATTCACACCTGTTGACAGTTATCGAGAGGTACCATGAACAATTTGGTTGAAATTCCCTGCCTCACAATATTTAGATGAAAATCTATTAATTAATTCATGTATGGCCTCAATACAGCTCTCTTTGTAATGTTTTTATTTGGTGAAAATCTATTAATTAATTCATATATGGCCTCAATACAGCTCTCTTTGTAATGTTCTTATTTGGGTGAAAATCTATTAATTAATTCATGTATGGCCAAAATACAGCTCTCTTTGTAATGTTCTTATTTGTGTGAAAATCTATGAATGAATTCATGTATGGCCTCAATACAGCTCTCTTTGTAATGTTCTTATTTGGGTGAAAATCTAATAATTAATTCATCTATGGCCTAAAAACAGCTCTCTTTTTAATGTTCTTATTTGGGTGAAAATCTATTAATTAATTCATGTATGGCCTCAATATAGCTCTCTTTGTGATGTTTTTATTTGGGTGAAAATCTATGAATTAATTCACATGTGGCCTCAATACAGCTCTCTTTGTGATGTTCTTATTTGGGTGAAAATCTAATAATTAATTCATCTATGGCCTAAAAACAGCTCTCTTTTTAATGTTCTTATTTGGGTGAAAATCTATGAATTAATTCATGTATGGCCTCAATACAGCTCTCTTTGTAATGTTTTTATTTGGGTGAAAATCTATTAATTAATTCATCTATGGCCTAAAAACAGCTCTCTTTGTGATGTTTTTATTTGGGTGAAAATCTATGAACTAATTCATGTAAGGCCTTAATACAGCTCTCTTTGTGATGTTCTTATTTGGGTGAAAATCTATGAATTAATTCACGTGTGGCCTCAATACAGCTCTCTTTGTAATGTTCTTATTTGGGTGAAAATCTATGAATTAATTCATCTATGGCCTAAATACAGCTCTCTTTGTGATGTTCTTATTTGGGTGAAAATCTATGAATTAATTCATGTATGGCCTCAATACAGCTCTCTTTGTAATGTTCTTATTTGGGTGAAAATCTATGAATTAATTCATCTATGGCCTAAAAACAGCTCTCTTTGTGATGTTTTTATTTGGGTGAAAATCTATGAATTAATTCATGTAAGGCCTTAATACAGCTCCCTTTGTGATGTTCTTATTTGGGTGAAAATCTATGAATGAATTCATGTATGGCCTTAATACAGCTATCTTTGTAATGCTCTTATTTGGGTGAAAATCTATGAATCAATTCATCTATGGCCTTAATAC